GTTATTAGTATTGAATACCAGAAAACTTACAAACAATCAATGGAAAGAATATTTTCAAGAAAGATATTAATGAATTTGTTATTCCAACAACAATTAGTAAAATAGGAGATTGGTGTTTTTCAGGATGTTCAACATTAAAATCAGTTGATATACCAACGTCTGTTAGTAAAATAGGAAATGGTTACTTTAATAAATGCTCAACATTAACAAGAATTAATATACCAACAAGAATTAGTAAAATAGGAGATGAATGTTTTTCAGGGTGTTCATCATTAACAACAATTAATATACCAACATCTGTTAGTAAAATAGGATATGGATGTTTTAAAGAATGTTATTCATTAAAAACAATTAATATACCAACAAGAATTAATAAATTAGGAGATTGGTGTTTTAATGAATGTAAATCATTAAAATCAATTAATATACCATCATCAATTAATGAAATAGGACAATTTTGTTTTAATGGATGTTATTCATTAACTTCCATTAACATACCAACAATAGTCAATGAAATTGGAAGTTGGTGTTTTTATAAATGTTATTCATTAACATCTATTAATATACCAACAAGAATTAATGAAATAGAAGATGGATGTTTTAATAGATGTTCATCATTAAAAACAATTAATATACCAACATCTGTTAGTAAAATAGGAGAATGGTGTTTTTATGAATGTTCGTCATTAACATCTATTAATATACCAACAACAATTACATCATTTGGACGTAAATGTTTTAAAGGATGTGGATGTGAAGAAGAATTAAAGAAGAATGAAAGAATACCAAGAGATTGTTTTAACATTATGATGTATCGAAATGAAATAAAAATACAAAAATGAAATACAATATAATTTGAAGTAGAAATAAATTATAATTGATTATCATTTATATTATTATTCTTTTCTCTTTTATTGTTTGACATATCATTCTTTATATTTGTTTTATAATTCTTTTTTTATTCTTTATTTCTTTTTATTCTTATTTTTATATTCTTATTCTTATCTTTCTTTTTTTATTTTATTTCTTTATATCTTTTATTTTATTTATTTTATATCTTTATTTTCTTTAGATTCGAAGATAGCACGTCAGAGACACCACACAGAACACTAAAATATTATCATCATTCAAATCTACCAGTTATGGACTGGTTATGACGTGCCTTGGTGAGGTAGTGCACCACCCAATATTAGATGGTTATTTTTTTATTATGACTGATTACTATGGAGGCATTATCAATAAGGATTATTATCTATTATTGTTTATTAAGGATTATTATTTATTTTGATATGAGACTATTTAACTATTATGGTGGTAGTATTGTTATTAATTAGGACACAACATATTTATCAACGATAGATTTGGGCTGAGTACATGGTGTGTTATCAAGAAAAAGGGTTCTTTAATTAGTGTCGATGATAAAGAAGATAGGCCATAGTCACATAGTGGTTATGGATGTATTCTTCTAATGACAGCACATAAACAATGAAAAGTTTTAATATTCATTTAATTCAAGGTATAAATCAAGCAGCAACTTAAATGAGGAACCATTTAAGTCGAGGGTGTTTGAAAAAAACATTATTTCATATGAAATAAATGTTGAAGAAACTGGTTTTGCTCACTTCTCAACATGATGAAAACCTAAATATAGGTAATTCATAATTGATTTCTTTCTTTTATTTTTATATCTTTATTTTGTTTTGTTTATTATTTCTTATTTAATTTATCTTATTTATCTTCTTATATCTTCTTATTTTATTTATTTGTTTTATCAATTCAGAATATACATCATATTTTGTTGTCATAATTATTGAGTAATGTCGTAGAGTTTTGTAAAGAATCAAACAACAAACAGATATTCAAATTCAAAGAAAAGAAAGAATGAAATAACAATAAAATGAATAATAATTATGATAAAAGAAATAACAAGAAAATAGTAAATGGAAAAAGAAGAATACAAATAAAAACAAATAAGAAAGAAAGTAAATATAATGATAATAAACATTATACAAATAACAAATCTAAATTATTAACAACAAATGAAATTGAAATGAAAATTAAAAGAACAAGAAGTGAAAATGAGAAAAGAGAATAATCAGAATTACATATAAAAAATATGAAGATAAAGAATTGTATAATATTGTCCAAGAATTATATTCAATAATAAAGAAGAAAATAATAAAGAAAAACAAATAAGAAAACAAAATAAATGAAGAAGATATTAAAATAAATGAAGAATGAATCAAAAACAAATAAATGAAATAAAAGTACAATAATAATAAATTAAAAATAACTAAAATAAAAAGTAGTTAATTAAGTATTAATAGAAATATTTTCTGTTGTTCCTTGCTCAGTGGAGATTAACTTATCCCGTCCCTGAGCTTTAAAAGTATTTGTTCTTCAAATTTTGGCTTATTCTTTGATTTTAGTTGTTGAACGGTGAGAATTTTCTTTTCTCATTTTTGATGTGGAATAAAGTATTTTAGACATCCCTTATTTAAATATTCATTATTTAATTTCTTTTTAATTTCGATGGGTTTAAATTTCTTCTTCTTTATTTTCTTATTTTAAGGAGAATATATAATTACTACTGTATTTCTATGGGTTGTTATTCTTTTTAGAATCAACCACTTGACCCTTTTCCTTTGATAATCTTTCTTATATTATCAATTATACTTGTGTTCTAACAAGTAATAACAACATCTTTATAAATACCCATTCTTTTATTATCAATGATATCACATCATTGTACATAATAAACACTGATATTCTTGCAATATTGATTATGATGTTTTTCTAACTAAAAAACGTCATAATCAGTCCATAGCTGGTGTATTTGAATGATGGAAATATTTTAGTGTTCTGTGTGGTGTCTCTGACATGCTATCTTCGAATCCCAATAAAATAAAAAATAAATAAAAAAGAATAAAATAAATATCTTATTATATTTTTATTTATCTTTTATTCTTATTTCTTTTTATTATTTATTAAATTAACACATTGGGTGTGATTCTTTCAAATGAAATAAAACAAGAATGAAATATGTCCATTTTTATATTCACCATTTCGTTCATTGGCAGATGAAAGAAATGGCTGTTCATATTCATTTATTGATTTGATTTTATATTCTGTTTTATTTTTATATTTCAAATAAATAATAATGAATAAAATCATTTCATTTCAATTACAATAATTCGTTGTGGTGTGAAACATTCTGGATATTGTTTTCCACAAAGTGCATTTGTTATTCCTTTATATTCATATGAAGATTGATAACAAAATGATTTTGTTTTACTCTTTTCTTTATAAACATGAATATCATTTCTATACCCCCTTCCAAAAAAAAACAAAAAAGCATTTATTCGACAATCTAAAGCAAATGCATATTCTGGTTCTTTAATATCAAATTTCATCATTCTTCCTTTTGATTCTATTGAAAATAAAAATGATTTTGTATCATTTATATAATAACCAGCTTTATCAATTTTCTCATTAACATATCCTCCAAATTTATTTCCATTTGTATCTTCAATAATAATTATTATATGTTCTTTATTCATTATTCTTTGTTCAAATACTGATGTATTCTTATTCCAATTATCAATATCTGAATCAAATAGTATATTTGATACTTTTCTATTTGTCCATTCTTCTATTTGTTTCATTTCTTCAATTGTATTCATTCCTTTCATTATTCTTAATCTTTCTCCTTCTTGTTTCTTTCTTTCTTTTTCTTCTTCTTTTTTCTTCTTCATCTCAAAATAATCACTATAATATGTTTCCATTCTTCTTTCTTTTTGTTAAATGTTTGTGTGATTTTATCTTTTTCTTTTGGTGTTCTGAATAGTTTATCTTTCATATTCATTTCTTCAATAGAAATGATTGTATTGATTATTTCATTCCGTGTTTTACTTAGTATTTCTTCATCATAATTACATTCTTCTATTATTTTGTTCATTTGGTTCTTTATTATTTCTATTGTTTTAATTGTTTCTTGACTTTTTTCTATTATTATTTTTCTTCTTCTTTCTGTTTCATCAATCCTATCAAATATTCCTTCTCCTCTTTTAATAGCTTCTGAATATGTTTCATCTGGTTTTATTTCAAATATTTCATTTTTAATACATCCTAAATAATAATGATACTGTTTATTAATATCATCAATTGATTGTTGAATATTTGGAAGTGTTTCTATTTCTTCTTTAAAGAAATGAGTGTTCTTGTTTATAACT